AATATATAAAATATATTTATATACTTATAATCAGTAATAGAGAAAATTGTAATGGATTTTACTAGTAATTTATTTAGACGGCTCAAAAACCAAGAAAAATAGATTTTGTTTTCAACTATTATAATATAGGCTAGTTAAACAATTACATTAATCTTATAAATTGTGTATATAATATAGTGATATACTAGGTATATAATATACTAAGTAGATAACAAATATGAATTATGAACAAATTTAAATAGGCTTCAAATTGTTCATACGCAATATTTAATACTGGTTATTAAATGTTCAAATTTTGTAGATTGCATACACATCGGTACTACTTATTTTTTAAATTATTTAGATGAATCAGCAAATAATTTATCACATGGTTGTTTTGAAATATTTTAATCCAATACCATTTAAGTGGGTATCTTAATATAATAATCTCCAATAATTTTTTTTTAAAAATCAAAATAATAAAAGCCTCATCTGTATTGAAATTATGAATAACTCATAAATCATAATAATCTTAAGCCTATTTTTTTTTTGTACGTTTAGTTAAGATTGTACCTTCTATATTTAATATAAAATTAGTTAAATATTAGCTATAATACTTGACTTGGTCAATAAAGTTAAATAAACTATAAATACCTAATTCAGAATAATTTTAAATAAATAAATAAGAATGATACACCGAGATTGAAATGCATAAGCTTTAGAGGCCATAATAAAAAAGCATGTTATGTTTCAAAATTAGTACCTAAGTACTATTTTAAATAATTGATAAATTTAACTTTGGTAAGTACACACATAGCTTTATTTAATATTAATAATATCATTTTTAAACTATTTAGCAACAAATAACTACAACCAAATCTGAACCTCATAGATTATTACTTTAGAGGGTTCATATAATTTTTATAAATAGTTTATTTAATCAACAAGATTTTACTCACCACAGGAAATTCCAAGTAAAGTTGGGGATTAGTTCAAGATGACATCAACACCACACTAAGCTACTATAATATTAAAGAGGTAGAGGCACCAGGCTCGCCGGGTGAAAAAATTTGTTTCAGTCGGGCATTCGGGTACGCACGCGACCAGAAAGTAGTTAGACACGCCACAATGAAAATACATGCGACCACCTGTTTATGGATTATCGATAAAAATAATAAAAAAAAACTAATAATAACGCAACGTTTTAGTTCTAAAACATAAACAATAATAATGTTTTTATTTTTTGTTTACACGTCCGGTAACAGCATTTTAGTATCTTTTATCTACTTGATAATAAACGACAAGCCACGATAACACCAGTGCGCGCCGTGGGTTTATATAGTAGGTGATATATTATTATGAAATACGCGGGAAAATACCCTTTGCCTATTGTGAAAAGAATAATTTGAGCTAAAAACCCAAGTCACAACACACTTGAACACAGTATTAATCTATTATAATTTATAATCATTTCAATATCTAATAAGTTGGTCATACATGATACACTCATACGGTAATCGGTAAATAGGTACCTAATTTAAGTTATAATTTATTACCATTAATTAAACACAGACTTTTATACTAAGTATAGTAGGTATAGTATAGCATAGTATAGTAATAGTATAGTATAGTATAGTATAGTATAGTATAGTATAGTATAGTATAGTATAGTATAGTATATAGTATAGAATAGTATAGTAGGTACCTATACATTAACCGAATCAAAATATATCAGTGAGTTAACTGTGACAATAACCATGGATAAGTGAAGCCAAACTCTCACTCATTTGAAAAAAGCGTCACCATCGGTCATCGGAACATTCGATCCGTCGATCGTTTGTGCAATTATATTACACCTATTGATTTTATTATGTTATTATTGTTATGATTTATTCTGTTATATAGAATAAAAGAGTAGAGTTTATAATAGTTGTATTTGTATTATAGACAGTATGGCAATGAGACAAAAAATCCAAAAAAATTCGTTGAGTAACTCATTATTAATTTTCTAGTTGTCATCGTTGATGTTTTTTGTTTTCATATCGATACAAAATTGGTCAGCTATTACATAAGTACAATATTCATATTTTTTATTTGTTTTTCAAATCTTTTACATTCAATAAGTAATAAGACGTATCTATAGTAAACATTAAACAATACATGTCCACCCATGAACGGGGTCTTGATTTTAATATTTTTTTCCCACGTGTATGAGTCTTGATCTATAGGTATGTTAATTCTAAAATTTCACAGGTCCATTAACAATGCATCGTTTATACGTAAATGTAGCCAGTAGCTCGAGTAGATAGGTACTAGGTACCTTGAATATTCTCTGCATTATTTCAATTATCATTCGTATCGAATAGGTGTCGGTAATATACTTTTGAACTCATCAAATATTTAGCAATTGATAGAATTAAAATCTAAAAGCTTATAAGTATAACTTATATGTTATGACTTTATGAGCAACAAACGATGCATGCGGCATGCATCAACGACTGGTATAATATGTAATCTGATGTGTACCTTACTCGTATACCTTATACTAAGAAGTACAAGTACCTAATATAAGGTCATCCTGAATCACAGTTGATAACATATTTAAGAAAATGTAATATTTATACAATATGATGCTTAGTGGACATATAAATATATTAATATATTATGTATAAAAGTTAATTATTGCTGAGTATTTTAGCATAAATGGAAGGCCAATTTAGATACTATAAATACTTTTAAGGTACCTACAGGCCACTGACTACCTAGGTACCTACATCATCAATTTCTGGTTTCAAAAAACCTCTATCTTGGTCTTATTATCACGGAAATAACTATTAAGGAAGGTGGCTATATGAAACCCAAAATATGGGCCTCTAAATATGAATCCAACCCCTTCAGTGCTCACAAAAATCAGGAATAATATACCAATAAATATGATTAATTACACTAATTACAGGTTTAATTAACATTTAAAAAATTTAAACCTAATATTTCTTTTAAAGAAGATTATAAAAATCAATTTATGATTTAAAGGGTATATACATTCTAAATACCTCAAACATACCTAGTGACTATAGTACAACTTCAACTATTCAAATTTTCTATGAAACAGTCGCTGGTTTATGTAAAGACAAAGACGTAGAGTTACTTTCAAAATTGAATTTGTTCGTCTTCGGGCAGGCGGATAACCTAACAAGTAAACTTAACATTGTTAGTTAAAGTAACACAAGTTTAGTGGCTCCCTTGCCCTACCGACTCCGGTTGTCAAACTCGATGGCCAGCTAAAGTAACAAAGTATATAATAGTGTCTCCCTTTGAGTTGAAAAGAACTCGTCTTTTAAAAAAAAATTTGAAATTCGTGAGAGGGGTATTAAAGTGCACTTTAATCATTTTTAGTACAAAAACTCCCTTACGACATAACTAAAATTTTGCTTATAGGCACGTAATTAAGTACGTAATAGGAAAACGGCGATTTGACTTTAGGCATTTTTAACACTTATCTTAACTTAATACTAACAATAATTCAAAAACAAAATATCAAACTTCAGCACTCTCGCAATAATTAAACAATATACTGTAAATTAATTCGATTGTGATGTATCACCTGTCACTTGACACCAGTTTTTTGACCAGTTGGTAATTAGTTATTATTGGTTCGAGTCCTAGTAATTTGTAAGATATCTCATATTCACATCCAATATTATATTATTTTATTCATTCCGGAGATGAATAAAGGCGTTATCGCATTTATATTTAGAACGATTGGCATTTGGCATATTATTAAACATATTAAAAACACTTAAAAACTATTAAGAAAAATAATGCTTCTTGGAATAATATTTTTAATTTCCTAATTAAAACTAAGAGTTCATTTATTAAAATATGCACTAAAAATTAATAAAATAACCTGAAAATGGTAAAAGAAAATACAAAATAAAAGTTTCACTTTTATAGAACCAATCTGTTGAGTACAATTTATTATATACTTGTTACGCATTGCCCTAGAACACCCAAAAAATAATGTACTTTGCATTGAAATCTGGGTTCTATTAATGAATAATGATGTTTATTACTTTTTCAATTAAAATTCTGATGGTGAAATTATGATCACTCGGCGTCGTGGGAATGCAACTAAGTGTACACCACTGGTAATATTAATAATATATTGACGTACATGCCGCAAGGAATATGAACAATAAAATATGTAAAATATTATGTTGGTAGTGGGTCTCGTTATTATTCATAATTAAATGTGTTATTGGTAGTTGCCGTTGTGTCATAAATATTTTAAATATACCATAAAGGAACCAACATTCAAACACAATCAAGATTCAAGAACAATCATTAATTGTAAAAAAATGTATACACTTGACTACTAGACTCTAGAGTGCCTACCTACCTATTGTTAAAAATATTATTATTATTACTATAAAATATTATAATACCATTAATTACAATGTATAAAATATAATCATAAAGCTCAATATGAGTAGGTAATAAAAAACGGCCAAGCAACAATACCAATAGGAGTACATATACTAATAAAGAGTACAACTCGACAATGGCCACTCAGAATCTAAAACAATTGGTACTATAAATAATCGAATTAATTTAATAAAATCTGAATCTAAGTCAAAAAATATTTTGGCAAAATTTTAAACGTTATATTTTACACACAATTACCGTGTAAAATGTTTAGCTTGTAACTTGTAAGTCTGTAAGAGTGTGGTTTATTTTATAATGTACAATATAAAATAATATTATGTTATATATTTATATAATAGTATTAGATTGTTCAATTGTTGATTAAAGTGAAACGATCCCATACAGTATGGTTATGTTAATAACTCAATAATTAATTAATGTTTTTCCCGTATAATATGGATTAATACGTTCTATAATCAATCCACATGGTTTTTAGTTTTTGATATTTAGTATTCACGACAACCGTCATGAGCGCTATAGCCGTTACTGTGATAACCATTAACTACCATAATATTGTAAGGAATAAAGTATCCACGATACCAATCGCCAGGAGTTCTCATTTCTTATCTAAAAAAGTATTCTGTAGAGGGTAAATTTCGTTTTCGTAATAAATTAATATTATGTATAAAATATGCAATTTAAAGTATTGACGATTACTTTAGAGTAGTAATTTTAAAGTATTTGACATTAGTAATAAATCATTCATAGTATTTGATAATATCAGTACGGTTATTATACAAAAACCTCTATTTTAAATATTAAAGTCAATACTATTAGACAATATTTGTTGATCATATATCTAGACAATATGATCTAAGGTATTATAATTGTATGTCTAATTTATTTGTTTGGTTATAATACTGTGATTATAATGTAATATAATAATATATTATTAATTTTTAATTAAAATTATGTATGTGCCTACTAGTATTTATAATCAATAGTATATTAAATTTGGCAATATTTATTACTTAAGTGAATATCCAATAAACTTATTAGGAGTTACTATTTAAAGCCAAAATGAATATATCAACTGAAATTGAACTGGGACTGAAACGGTTGTGTAACCCAGCACTGATAAATGACAAATGTTTCCAAACATTACTGCAGAAGGCTGGAAAGATTCTGGGAACATTGTTAGATGATACTTCGGAACAAACATTAGATGCTGGTAAGAACTGAGTTTCTACAGAACTAATAATCTATTTCTTTATTTTATAAAAAAATTTTATTTTTATTACTTTAGATAGGATTTTGATATTCTATTTAACACCCAAATTTTGCACATGAAAAAAAGAAAAATTTCCCAAAAACTAAAATATGTACTTATAAATCAACTTCAATGAATAAAAATTATACAATTTTATAATAGGTAATCATTAATTATATGTATACATTTTTGTTATCACCTACATAATGTCTAATAGTTAGTTTGTGTTGTATTAAAATAAAATATTGTTCTACATAATTCTTAGGTAGGTAACTTAGACTTGCCTGAAATTCAAAATTGTCTGAACCTTGCATTATATTTTAATTTAGCAAATGGAGTATGAGCTGTACCTGCTAAAAAGTTTCATGCAAAAATTAATTAAATGACAACTGATCATAACCGATTATATCTTAAATTAGGCAATACTTGATTATTTTGTTTCTTACTTAATTTTAGTTTTCGTTGAATTCCACAAGCATGATTACTTTAACTAATGTGTTAGGTAGTTGAAAACCTCCAATAACAACAATACATATATTTCTAAAAATTAAACATTTTCTTTGAAATCTAAAATTTAAGAAAATGACCTACAATATATAAAAATACAATTAATGACCTGTATAATGAATATTGTAAAAATATGAAATTAAATTTAAAAAATAAAAATATATATTCTTAGCTATAAGTGCTCAAAAATACAAAATACAGTTTTATCTGTTCTGAATCAATGAAGCATGAAACAAGCTTATATCTTGGTTAGCATGGTATATGATTGAAGGGAAAAAGTACAATAGTCATTGTCATTCTATCTCTATTTATTTTTAATGTGGTAGAAATAGTTTAGGTATTTAAAGTACCTATACATTACTTGTCATGATAGTCTTTGTATGAAAATATTATATTGTAGATCTTATTGATTCTGATTTTTACTAGTAGATCTTATTGATTGTAATTGTTACTTATAGGTTAATAGTTTTATAGATTATTGATATTTTTCAATAATGTATGAAAATTAAAAGGCGTCCATTCAAACATAGTCTCAACTGGGTCAACTGCATTGGTCATTGGCCACGATTAGCATGTTACATATTGGGTTTAGTACATCATAAGTATACAAGTTTTTTCAACATCAAAGTAAATAAATAAATAAATAAATAACAATCAAAAATAAATAAATATGTACATTTTTGCTTTTGTTCTGATTAAATGATTTTGTATAAATCAGTGTTTGATCAATTCTAGTAAGATATAAATATTGTGATAGTGTGAACTATTTTCCTATGAAGCATCCACCTTAAACAAGTACTTGTCCACCAAATGTTTACACACATTTTAAACGCAGGTCGTGTGTGACTATGTGCGTATAAATTATAAGCTAGTCTAGCTGTCTAGGTCCTTTAGATTTAGACTGGAGTTATTGGGATACCCATCTCCACTTTTGAATAAGGTGCAAATATTCACTCTGCCACAGATTCGGTGAAAGTATTTGGGATGTTGTATTTCGATGTTTGATTTTTCTTCATTGCATTGACGACATTGAAATAAATGTTTGATAGAAATTTCAGACCTACAAGTGGTACAAGGTTCTGTTTTTTCGTGAAATGTTTGTGTATATACCAGGATTGTCCTATCCTAAAGCAAGTTAGTATTACATCTAGTTCTGTAGTTAAATCTAATGGGTTCATCTGTCTATTGGCGGTATGTTTTGTCCCTCAGTAAATACCATTCTTTATGCCATTGGTTTGTTATGGGTTTTTTTTGCTTCTCTTTTGAGGTAATCTCTGAAAAACAGTTTTGATATATTGGTCACTAGTTGCTTGCTTCTATATTACGCTCCCTTTTATCTGAATTTGGCTAGGTATCCACGTTAGTGTTATATGTTTACTGGTAGTGTTGAGAAGATGTAATGCAATCGTTTTCACTTCTCTTTAGAATTTTGAATGTTTGTTACTCCGAGAATTGGTAAGTAAGTTGATGAAGTTTTTTTGACATTTCATTAATTTCTTGGTTTTTTTTTATATCATATACATTTTATATGCACATGCATAATTTTGTTTATATTTAATTATACTGTAAATTTGCATCGCAACACAATACTAATAGAAACATTTAAATGTTATTACACTAAATTCAGAGAATATTCAATTTAATAGTACTTTTAAACATTGTATCTTTTTATATCTAATTAATGTACCTAAACAAAATGTTCTACATAATGTTATTAAGGTTGTCCAAGAAAAATTTCAGAACTGTTATGGAAGGTTATATTTTACTTATTTATGTAAACAATTACACAAATATAAATAAATTCATTAACATTGATTTTAAATTTAAATTTATAATTTCCTATTAATCTCTTTTTCATTTCAGAATCGACCACATGCATTACGTCTAAACAAGATATTGCTAAAGAAGCATATGCTTCATTAGTAACTCTGTTTACAATTGCTAGTCGACATTGCCTGGATGGAAAGTCATTGAATCAACACTTACAAACATTAGTTTTGGCTAATACCGATCGTTTACCAGAGATTATTAAAACCTACGAATCTATTAGACCACGTCTTGTGGAAGTTGCCAAGATTACCACTACATCTTTGGCTAATGTGGTAGACGTTGAATGCCGCCTCGATTACTGTGTACAAGTTAGTATATCATGTTCATAACTTTGTAATACCAATAATAATTAAAACTGTAAGAGTTTAATCTATTTTAAAATTATTGTCGTGTTACATATCACTATAAAGCAGCTTATATGCACATTATATGCCAGTCGTCTTTAAATTATACTATCTAAATATATACAATATACATATAACTTGATAAACAATGTGATGTGCTTATAAACCTTAACATTAGTTTACTAATTATTACAATAACAATAAAAGTATTTGTTTTTAGTCTAGTGTTTTTGACGATGTATCTGAATTCTTATACAAAGTGCGGCTGAAGACAATAGACAATGGTACAATAAAATACATTGACTTCGTCTGCAGTACACAAGAACTTCAAGAACTAGTGTTTAAGTTAAAGGATGCAGTTCGTCATTTAGAAAAACTTTCTTCAGCCAGTTAAGATTCATAAAATATTTTACCATATTCAATCTATACTATGTATTTGCTCATTCCTAATTGTTCTTATTAGGTACATAATATATTTTATTACAGTCTTAAATCTTAATATATTATATATTTTAGATTTCTACAAGACATTAAATTAAATTAATATTGGGGAAAACATTCACTTTTAACAATGATAAACATAAAAAAAAAAATAATAAACAGAATATTTAACATAAGTAAAACTAAACAAAAACAAATTATAAATTGTAAGAATGTATGAATAAATTATTTAGTCAATAACTATTGTAATATTTATTTTTTTGACTGACGTTCGTACACGGCAACTTTATATGCTTCATTGAACTTTTCTAAAGCTATAAATGTCAATACAGTATGAGGTCCAATTCTAGCAAAATATGGCACAATGCCTTTCCACAAATTGAAGAAACCTTCATTCTTCACTACTTTCACCATTGCATTTATTGTGCCAGTATATTCCGGTACTCCATCAATGATTTTCATGCTTTGGATTCTATAAAAAAAAAAAAGGATGATCACATATTTTGTCATTTATACCAACATTTGATCTAATTCAATTGCATATTATACATACCTAGTTTTGGCAATATCCACTGGCAGTGAGGCTACAGTTGTAATGGCACCGGAGGTCATAGATGAAGCAAAATGCAATACAATATTATCTTTGAAATAACCTAAAACAATTTTAGATGAATATTGTTAAATCCATTTTTTTGAAAGCTCAATAATAAGAAAACACAATAGTATAATATTATTAATATATAGGTATACCTTAATATAATATTATACACATGTTTGAACAATTGTATTAATAAGTGATCTGATCAAAACCATAGGCTGCCCATTGAGATTTTAAGCACAATCTATTTATACATACATTACGGTTTTATAATATTACACAAATTAAGGATGATACATAAATGAATACAATGTTAGATAAAATATTTTTTATCATGGTAAATGAATATAATTATATATACTGTTGTTTGTTTGTTTATTTTTTTATTTTTAATGTTCTGAGATGTTACATAAAATTGAATAATTAATTAATTTGTTTGTAATTGAATACTGTCCTTTTTAAATATATAATATATATGAATCAAACCATTTCTTTTTTTTAAAGATAATGTCAACTAACATTATTATTTAAAATTGCCTAAACTTAAAAATGTTTTTTGTAATTTAATAGTAACTAAATTAGAATTATTTTAGATACGCTGTAAAAAGGATCAATATTTATTATATGAATTTTATCTTATTGGCATTGAAAAAAAAAAGTAAATAGTAAATATTTTAACTATAAGTATTAACTTATATACAACAATTATTAAATTATTAATCATTGAAAGAAATTAGCTAAGCATAGTTCATAATATTAATGAAGTAAGAAATACATTGAGGTACAGAATTTCCATATTTTATATTTCTGATTTATAATCAGTTATTATTTATATCTAATGAAATGTTTTATTCTTCTTCTTCAGTAATCTCATTCACTAGCACCATCTTCACATACACACTTGCCTCCGGTTTTCCTTATCCGATATTTGTAGTTTCCAGTCCTTACCTCCCTCTAAAGCTTTCACATCATCCCACCTCAGACGGTGGTCATCTCAGCAATCTTTTTCCTGTAGGATTTTCTTCAATTACAATGCATATGAGTGGGTTTTGACCCTAACTGAATTTTTGCATCTATTTCTTTTTCGATTTCATTTCTTTCCGCCATTATAGATCCAAGATATTTGAATTGTTTGGTTCTTTTGAAATTTTGGTTATCGACATTAAGAGATGGGTATAATCCAATTGTGTTTCGTCTTTATATGACCATGTATTTTGAAATATTTTATAAAAAAAATAGTTAAAATGTTAAAATGTTCAATATTACTTAATTTCAATAAATTTGATTGATAGGCAATAACTTATAAACTATTGTTAACTTATAAAATTACTAGTTATAAGTAGTAGTATTTGTTATTATAACTTATAAATACAGAAAATACCTACTAAAAATTAAACTAATAAATGTAAACTTTATATTAGAAACTTAAATATAATTAACTAACTAGCATTCTACATTAACCCAAATTATAAACTAATAAACAATATGTATAATAGAATAATAGAAAGTATTGTGGTATACTGAGACATGCTCCATGTAGGGGGGGGGAGTTAAGGGTGTCATATAAAATGTATGATAAAACAATGCACGTATGTTTATGGCTACATAACATGGTCTGAGAATAGTCAAAAATGCATATACCTCTAACTTAAAAAAAAATTTAAACATGCTCTGATCTTACATAATGGATAAAAAATATCATAAGTGAATTACAATATAGAATTCCAATCATAATAATACATTTTAAATGTTGATAATACTTTTATAAGAGAAACTCAGGAACATAATACTATCACTATACTTAAGTAATAAATATATTCATTTAAAGATGGTCACATAATACATTAAGTATTTAAACTAAAAGTATGGTCAATATTCTGAAAATTATTATAAGTGTATTTTTTAAGAAATCATATCACGCAATAATAAAAAAACCCGATAAAAAACAAAGTTATCTTTTAATTATTCAATAGAACTGTAATATATTATCTCATATTTATTATCAACAAATAAAATTATTTCAATTAATTTATTTTTATTTCAAAAAACTGTAATGTATTTTTATAACTTAGCTATATATTTTTTATGAGTTGTTTTTTTTTATTTTTACAAGAAAAATACAATCTATAGATACATTTCAGTACAATAAGTATATGTGAGATGAGAAAAAAAACATAATAAGTTTGCGTGAAAAAAAGAGCCACCCATTAGTGGCATTTAGCTTGGAAGTTGCGTTGTTATAGGATAAGTTAAATGGGCATCGCCCGTTTCCGCCAAAAAACCGGTTCCCTGATTTAGGTATAGCCCTTTTCCGCCAAAAGACATTTCCGCAAAAGAAAGTTTGGAAACCAATAGTATTAATTTTTAAGCAATATATATGTTGTGGTATATATAAAATAAAATAGTAATGTAAAATAAAAATATTAAACCGTTTAAAAACTACTGAAGAAGCAATTACAAAAAAAAGTTTGAATGAAATTAGTAGGTACACGTTTGTCAAAACTGTTTCTTATAATTATATGATTTTTTAAAACCTAACCTATACTTAAGAATGTGATTTTTAAAACCTAACATATACTTGTATTATAATTTGAAATAGTTAAATATAATGTATTATTATTAGCTACTTGTACTATAATTTATAATAATACAAATATTTTTATATGATAAGAATATGTAAGATTTGTACATGGTTCTTAAATTGACGGAAACGTCTTTTCACAAAAATATATTCGCTATATATTGTTGTACCTATTCGCAATTTCGCAATTATTTACAAATGTCATTGCTATTACCTACATTTTACATTACTATTTTATTTTATATATACCAAAACATAAATATTGCTTAAAAATTAAGACCATTGGTTTCCAAACTTTTTTTGCGGAAATGTCTTTTGGCGGAAACGGGAATCAAACCTTTTTCGTTTTTGGCGGAAACGGGTAACTCCCAGTTAAATGATCTCTACATCATTTTCTTTTAAGTCTACAATGGGGATTTCCAGGAAGTGATGGGATATGTAATCCTTTTATTAGAGGATTTTCATGGTTTTCTAATTTAGTGTAAAAACATTTATAGAAAACAGCAGCTTCTTATTCTACTATTTTTACACATAGGTCTTCGAGTAGGGTCAGGTTTGAAATATAGGGTGGAGCATTGGTGATTTGTTGAAGCGAGATATTTTGGAATGCCTAAATTTTATTTTTTTGCTGAACCCAATGGTTGGATACCATACGTCCACATGTGTTTCAGTAGAGATTTATACATTTGTAATTTAGCTTTTAGGGTTGAGAACTTATTTGTTGAGAGTAAAACTTTTAAAGATCGGGACCGGGCATTAAGTATTATAGGATGTGAAAAAAAAAAATACATCAAATGAAAATAATAATTATTTTTTTTTAAATTCTATCCCAATTTATAAACTAAAATTGAATGATACAATTAGTTTTATTTTTATACTATTAGGAAAATCATAAAAATAGAACCAACTCAATTAATGACTGTCTGTGAATTATAACATTTAAATAATAAGCATTAACTTTAAAGAAATTGTTAATTGCATGCTTAATGGTTTTTTTTCTGGATATCAAAACAATTTTAATACAGGAAAAAAGTGACATGAATAAATGCAATTTGTGAAACCTTCTTTCAATTAGTATAATTAAGTTTTAATATCAAATATAAAAATGTATAAAATAATAAAGCTGGGAACCAATTTCTACAATAAAACCCATACAAATTACAAGAAGTCTTTCATGAATTACTTTTTTCTACTACCTACATTTTTTTGAATGAAATAACATAGTTATTACTGTATCAAAGAGCCATACATTATAAGTCATACTGCAATAGTTTGTTTTAGTTCACCTTTAAATGTTTGCTGTTAAATAATTAAACAAGTGACTATTTTAGAATTTACATACAACTTATTAATTGTTAAATATATAGTTTGATTCATAGCCATAATAAAGAAATGGACTGATAGCCCAAAAAAGAGGTCCAGGGACCAACATTTTTAGAAAAAGATAGTATTAAGGTCCCACGGGTCTATTTCTTTTCAAAAATATTGACACTAGACAACCTATAACAGGACATGATGGATGTGCAGTCCATATATTAATTAAACATACACATATTTAATTTTTGTTAAATGATTGGTTGATTAATTTTCGCTCTAAAATATTGCTCCACTCAGAAACTAAAAAATATGTAATAAATATACATATTGAAAAGATGTATTATTTATTATTACTCCATATTAATTACCCAATACTTATGATTACATAAGGGGATACTTATAAAAACTCAATGCCATTTATTTGTTATTTACTAGATTTGAAGTATAGATATTATATTTTAAAAACAGTTGTAACTCACCACTCCTAAGGTAAATTTCTTTAGATTGAGAATATGATGCAAGTTGAGCCATATTGACAACAGCTGCCCTTCCCATTGTGGCAATACATCCTCTCCACCATGTAGCAATACCTTCTTCCCTCGCAATCCTGGCTAATGCGTTGAACACACTAGTATAACCACGTCTTTCAGACAATGGCAATTGTCCGTCTGATGTCATCCGGATGAGAGCTACTTCAGCCGGAGTACCGACAGCAGCGCCAGTCACTCCAGATATCGAGGCCAAACCCAGTTTCATCAATAAGTTAGGCGGTTTGTTGTCTTCTCTATAGGAAAACAACAAACGCGTTGTTCATAAGCATAACACATTGTGAATGCAAGTGTGTTCTGGCAACACTCACCCGGTCATAATTGTGAACAACGAGTTGTACATGCCTAACCGCGTGGTCGAGTACGTAGCTTGTCTGAGGATGCCGGCGGACAATCCAGGATAAAATGCTGTCACGCCCTTCTCTTTAATCATAGAACGGACTATACCGCCCATGGATTTTTGTGCTTCAGTGGCAGTGACGTCGCGTCCAGCCATCTGCATTCGGTTCTTTAGCACGTCCAACGGATGCACTATGACGGTGGCCACAGTCCTGTAAGACATTATACGTCATAAACTCATAACAACAGTAACTAATACTCGTAATGAATAATAATTGTATTGTCACGGGTCGTGTGAGTTATCGAAAGGGGAAGATACTTACGCGGATAGTCCACCGTTGAAAAACTTGACCAAAGGCGGCAAAGCCACGGAATCGCTCATGATGTCGTGTGGGTGTGTTTGTGCTTCCACTTGCTCAAAGTAATGTAAGAGAGCTTTAAAGGTCCTTCTTGAACATATCACTGCGGCACTTACTTCTACAACCGCTCACAACGTATGTCGTGAATGTAGGAAATTCGAAGACTGAGTTTTAAATGATTTATTATAGCGCGGTCCGCCGTTCGTGATATCCCCACCAAGTTTAATTGATTCGTAGTCGGCCAGTCGGCGTGAATATAATGAGAGGGGATAGATAAATTAATAATTAAACAAAAATAAAAAAACGTTCAACAGTCACCACCAGACGCCACCGAACAATATTACAATATAATATCCTATATAGATAGATATTAAATATGTAGATTACATTATTATTATTATGCACAGTGCACACATTACATTATTGAATCAACTACATATCGACATAATATAATATTTTAAACATCCAAGATTCTGCGTGATAACACATCGCATGGTACGGATATAAATGATGAAAAAAAAATTATTATTATTATTATTATTATTATTATCTATTTATTATGCCACTGCAAGGACATGTTCGTGGGCGTTCGGTTCACCTCGGGCGCCTAATGCGCTTGGCGTACGCGCGGGAAACAGCTGAGACACGGGTTTACAGTATTATACATTTATTACACTGTTCAATATAAAAAGTATTAAACGTACCTAAGTTTTATGATTAATTATGCACGAAACATTATGTTTATAAATAAAACGATAAAATCCTATAGGTATCTATTACTCGTCTATCAATTTATGCCCGTATTTTTAACGGTTGTCAGTGCTAGGTAATAATTTTGTAATAAATTATACAATAATATAATTGTATAATATACTATGCGTATTTCTATAACAATGTATGTATATTATCAGACTCTAAAATAATTATTTTATCCTACATACTTAATATTATAGTATTATACAACAAAATATAAGTACAAAAAGTATATCCATCAATCTATGCGATAAGCTTATTACAGAATTATAATTTATAAACATTTAAATAGATATTAATTGTTATTGAAACTTTTAAAATATTTTAAATACTAAACAAGTGAAACCTATGAGGTATTAAACATTTAAACCTACCTAATACCTATACTATAGTCGCAATTGTATAGCATTCAAACAACAAATAATAATGATACAACCACAGTGCACCGAAAGACACAATGCTGTTTAAAAGTTATACGTAATAGTAGGTACCAACAAAATAATTCACTGATATACTTTTTAGAATTATTATTAGTGGTCAAAACGGTGTAGTGTTTTTCAGAATTTAAAAATTATCATAAATAGTTAATATGTTTTAAAATGTTTGACTGGGATAAGGTAATTATAAAATAAAATTATTTCAAAAATTTCAAGTAATAACAGAATAAGATAATATTTTGCATACCTACTTATATTAGGTACCCAATATCTTATAATAAAGCTTAAAATATAGATATGCATATAATACTTTGCTATAGCTTATAGGTAAATACAATGATTCTATCCGTCATTGATCATTCACATGATTCCATTTTAGTTATGTGATAATGATTTTTTTCAAGAGTTTAGAGGACGCTAAACAATCAACACTATATAATATTACCTATAATCGTTACCTTTTTTAAATGTATGTACTATGTTGGTAGCAAGAAAATATTATCACGTTTTGAGGATACAAAATATCAAATACCAGCTTTATAGCACACTATATTCAATATTAAAACTATTATTTAGAGATTATAATATTTAATTCTTAAAACTGTTATCTATGATAGTTAAAGTACTTTCGTAATTGTATTTTTTATAGTTGTTATACCTATCTATCTTATAACTATAACTTATAATAAGTTATAAGTAATAATATTAAGAGAGAACGTGTAGAATATACGATTACTAATAAATAATAATACATTTCTAGGTGAAAATCGAATACTATTAGTTATTACAGGGGGGTAGGTGTGGGGTAAATACTTTAAAATGCAATAGAAAAATTATGTATCTGAGTTTTAAGTTTAAATTGTCTGTATCCCTCACTGAGCATTATGTTATCGTCTAGGTAACATACAGGCTTCAATAGTGTATTAAATGTATTGAATTCGAACTGACTAATGACTATGCAGCAGAAGAAAGTTCTCTGGTTTTATAATTTATTTTTAAATTACTAACAGTCGAGCCTCGGTATTGTAGCACAGAGCACTTCAAGATAAATAAAGATTTTTTCAGACAAAATATTTACTACCTTCTATTACTAAGAAAATCTTCTTATTACATACACTCACGAGTCACGAACTAGTTACTTAAAGCTCTTCTTTTTGTTAGCGTAATGACATATTAACATGTTGACATATTTTATGCAGACGAACTGCGAACCTAAATAATTTACTCTTAAATACAATGTAACAACTATTGTTCATTTAAACAGACAACAATTTCATGATTTATTTTCCAGTTTTCCACTGTTAATTGCTTAAACTTTGACAATATACACTATCATTGATTATAATTTATAAGTACTATATTAATGGACAATAATATAATGCTGGTTACACACGGGGAATTAAGACGCTCAAGTGCGCGTGATACCATACCACATATAAACATATTAGGTATAATAATATAATATACGAAATAAACGCGGCTATGGAAATTGAAATTAAGATAATATGGTTTATATCTTAGATAAAATATATTATAATTTGTATGTTGTATGTATCATACTATCATCTAAGATTTAACTATCTAAGATGTATATAGTTTAGTTGTAGCGTTCGATCACGGTCAAACGTGAGTGTTAAATCCCCCTTTGAACACGGCCATCTAAGTAAAAGTTTTTTATTTCCTGGTCTTTTATGTAATTGTTCATTTATACACAGATTTTATGACAGACCACCTGGTCCCCTCCCTAAAATAATTTATACTGTATCACACTATATCACTTATTTTTACACTATTACTAATTAGTTATTAGTTACTACATTTCCAGGCAATGCGTGGCAAAAATATTATCAAACATGTTAATTATTATCGTTACGAAAATAAGTTTAAGGTATATATTACCAGCGCTGTCCATAAACTAAACAATAATAAAGTACAAGTCCTTGTCCAGTGTCCTAGCAACAAAAAACCAGTCGTGCACAAACGCGCAGTAATATTATTATGTACGAGGTCACAAACGAATGATTTGACACGGTTTATTAATAATTCATTTTATACTTGTAAACACTAAACAGTTATTAATAAACAGTATTAATACTTAATAGTTAATAGTTATAGTCAAATAATAATTATTTGTTCAAAGGTAGGTACATGTATTTTAATTTTTAGTATTTGTTTGGTAATCACTGTCATAACTTAATTTTATTAAAATATTCAGACATAACACATACGGCCAATACGGGTCAAGTACTCAAGCCTTAAGTTGTCATCCAAGTCATTAAACTGTATACAGTAGCTAGGTATAATATACTGACTAGGTAATAAGAATATTATGTTAGTATGTTACACATGTGACTTGTTATATAAACAATATAGGTTTAGTACTCCATGCTCTGTGTTTATAACTTCGTTTATTATCATTTATCATTTTACCACTCATCAGAAATCAAATGCTAAATACAATATCACAAAAATATAATTTTTATATTATAATATAATCATTGTTGACTTAATTTTCTAAATTGCAGACAAAGCTTTGATAAATATAGTACCTTATAGATGGAAACTAATTTTTTTGTTGGAGGGGGGGATTGATGGAGAGGACTAGATAGGTTAGTCATCAAAGTCTCCTAGTAATTTATGACAATGGTACTCGTCAACATAATAGATTTAGAGTGTATTTCCATCTCGTTAAAGTATCGGCAGTTTGTTGTTGCAAATTTAATCTTTATCAATGGTTATTGCCATGAGTTATATAAATATAAAATAAGTAACTATTGTTAGCTATTTTCTTGATTTTTAAGTATAAGATACTTATAGACTATAGTATACAATATATTAAAGTTAATAGGTAGACAAATTAGTATTACTATGTATACATAAATGATAAAATTCATTATATAATTTATAATATACAAGATTTTGTGTGCATCAAAAGTTATACATAATGTATATAATATATTACATGACTTATGATTAATCACTATTAATAGAAAAACTTTAATCTTTCAACAGATTGCATTCGCACTGCACTACCTCAGCCACGCTACATAAATATACTGTATCACTGTACCTATCAGTGTATCACGTGTAACCAAGTGAATAATATACATGTCACTAATTATCAGTCCTAGTATACAATTCCGGTTATATACTTGTATCTAGTTAATATATTTTAAGAGTCGCTTAAGTCTTTCTATAAGGTAAATATAGCTATACAATCCCTGTGCAAAATTTAGTCTATATGCTTATTTATAGGAGAAACTATAATCATATAATATATCATGTTAACTATCCTGACTTATGACTTATAAATATAATATAATAGGTATATTAAAATATAATTATACAAAACAGATACATATATCCATATATGTCAATATGTCATACACTTATATGTATATTATGAGGTTGTACAAAATTTAAGAATAGTTTCATTATTATAGTGAGTAATTGATACCTAAAAATATTAAGTACAATATGGGTATGGTGATAATATTAGTAAAATTTGATTTAAATGTTGTGATAAACTCAAATAAGCCTATAATGTAATAGCTAAGGTATCCTAGGTGTATAAAAGTAACGTTGGCTTTAAAATACATAAATATTTATTTTAAACTCTGTAGTTTATAACTTATAGGTACCTATCTCTATATGTTTTTATGTATGTATGTATGTATAAATGTATAATATTATAGTCAATGATATTATACAGGCATAAGCACTTTTTGTTTATTATTAGGTAGGTTCAATACATGATATTTTTATGACGGACTCTATAGGTATACCTGCCGCATACCCATATTGTGTATCATCACGATGAGAAATGACATAAGCACATATATGCGAATTATTATATACATTTTACATTATATATATATGTGTTACGTCGTTTGTCGTTATGACTTATGTAGTTATGTGTACGGCCGTATAGGTATACTTACATATATTACGATAACTTGTTGGAATAGTATTGTGTAATGTGTATTTATATATCTACAATACACAGTACCTACTAACGTACTCATTTATACGATTTATACGTTAACAAAAACAAATAAAATAAAAATAACTCCTAAATTAACTGCAAATTCGATGAATAATATTTTTCTTCTACCCATTAAATACCGAAATATAAAATATACGCAGACTATAATATATTATAAAGCCATTTTAGGTACAAATGTTAAACATACAATCAGTAAAAGGACCTCTAAAAACCTTATCCGTCAAATCAGTA